TGTATTCTGCATTATCGTGCGCAAAGGATGATTGGTCAAAACGAGGATCAAATGAGATTGAAAATAGGGCCTGAGTTTTCTTGCTGAAGTAATGACCACAAGGGCCATCTTCTCGATGGTCGAATATCGTGTTTTGGCGTCACTCATCTTTTTGCTTGTGTAGAATATCGGTTGTTGCTCGCCGCGATCTTCTTTGATAAGGACGCTACTGACGGCGATCGAGGAGACATCGATATAGAGATAAAGTGTGTCTCCTTTTTCTGGTTTAGCCAGTATGGGCGGCGTGGTGAGGTAGTGTTTCAGTTGGTTGAAAGCCTCTCCGCACTTATCATCCCAGACAAACCTCTTGTTGCCACGCAACAGATTGTAGAAAGGGAGGCATTTATCGGTCGATCATGAGATAAATCGATTGTGCGCTGCTACTCGTTTTGTTAACCGTTGCTCCTCCCGACTGTTTTTAGAGCTCCGGAGATCTAGGATCGCGGAGATCTGATTCGGATTAGCCTCGATCCCCCTTTGCGTGACGATGTAGCCAAGAAATTCTCCGGATGTAACTCCGAATGTGCACTTAGCCGGAATGATTTTCATGCCATATTCGTTGAGTGTGCGAAAACAATCGATCAGATGACTAAGGTGATCGGCCGCGAGGCGAGATTTGACCATCATGTCATCGATGTAAACTTCCATTGTGACTCCCAACCGATTGGCGAACATTTTGTTGATGAGGCGTTGATAGGTTGCGCCTGCGTTCTTGAGGCCAAATGGCATGACGTTGTAGCAATAGGTTCCTACATTTGTGATGAATTCTGTTTTTTCCCAATCGTTAGGGTGCATCATGATTTGGTTATATCCCGAAAAGGCATCCATGAACGATAATATCTCGTTTTCGGCTGTTGATTCGACAAGGCGATCAATATGTGGAAGAGGGTAGCTATCCTTCGGACAAGCTTTGTTCAAATCGGTGAAGTCAACGCACATTTGCCACTTCCCGTTCTTCTTCTTCACCACCACAGGGTTCGCGAGCCATTCGGGATACTTGTCTTCAGCGATTGATCCTACGCTTAGCAGTCGGTCGACTTCCTCGTTGACTGCTTTCGAGCATTCAGGGCCCAACTTTCTTCTTTTTTGCCTAACTGGTTTGATCGTTGGATCGACGTTGAGCTCGTGAGTCGTAATGGAAGGGCTTATTCCTTTCATGTCGGCGGTTGTCCACGCGAAATTTTACGCATTTGCCTTCAAAAAAGAAATATTCTTACTCTTGTTGTCGTCCGGTAGATAGCACCTATACGGACGATCTCGCTCTGATCGTTCTCATCGATGGGTATTTCTAGGATCTCTTCTTGGAAAGGAAGGATCTTCTGAATTGGCTTGATCACAGCGTTCACACGAGCGGACGATTGGCGAATTTTTATCTCTGCGACAAGGAGGTCGCGGGCTGCGGCTTGATCTTCACGCAGGGTGATTATTCGCCCATCTGTACCAGGAAACTTAATGCATTGGTGGTAGGTTGAAGGTATTGCTTTCATCGCGTGGATCCATGGCGTTCCGAGAATTGCGTTGTACGGATTTTTCACGTCGATTATTGAAAATTTGAAGTTTTTGTCCACGCCTTGAACGTGAACCCGTAATTGGATGGTGCCGAGCATTGTTTCCGATGATCCGTTGAATCCTGTCAGGGATCGAGCGGAAAGCTTGATTGTGCGGAGATCAATTCCCATCTTCTCGAGGGTACCTTTGAAGATGAGATCGACCGAACTTCCGATATCGACGAGGACTTTAGTTACTTCACAGTCACCAATGCTGAGTTCAGTGAGGAGGGAGTCGTTATGGGGCATGTGAACTCCTCTGGCATCCTCAGCAGAGAAGGTGATCTGGGGAACGTCTTCCCAGATGGTGCGCCGGTCAAGTGCGGTGACTGCCTTTATGCGGAAATCCTTAACCAACCGAACTGAATCGATATGGGGGGGCGATCCTCCAAAGATCACGTTCAATCGCTCGGGCGCGTGTGAGCGTTTTGACTTCGCATCGTTCAGTAGCTCACGTAGGTCTTCCGTTTTTTGGCCTGGCTTGGCGGTCGATCGATTGAATATTGACCGAAGGTCGCTTTTTTTAGCGTCGAGCCGGTGGCGAGCATCCATCGTATTCAACTTTCTGACTTTTGAAGTCGCGATCGCCGTTCGCAGGTCCGCCGGAGGAGGTTTTGCTGTCATCTTCTCGTTCTTTCATTTGAGGGATTCACGCAGATCGTGTTGTGACTGTGGGTCGTCTTCTTGCGCGTCCTCTGGGGTGGATGGATCGCATTGTCCCTCCTGTACTGGTTTATCACATGGTAAGGAAAGGACGGGAGTCATCCTGATTGTAAAAATCTTTCGGCGAGACGTTGGTTTATCTTCGTTAGAGTCGGAGTCTTCTTCGCTCGAAGGGGCGACAGTCTCTTTGGAGGGTGATCGATCGGCTGAATTACTGCGGTCGCTACTCTTCATGTCCTTGCCCTTCCCCTTGCCTTTACTATTTGCCTCGGGTTGTTGTTTCGGGTGCTCGGGGTGAGCGTGTTTCTCGATGAAGCCTGTCATGAGGAGGTTTTTGAGATGATTGCATTCCTTCGTTTCGTGTCCGTACGCTTTGTGGTAGCCGCACCACTTGGTCGCGTCGTATGCATTATTGGCATGATTCGTTCGGGCGGCCTGCTTCTTTCCGTCAACTTCCAATGTCCATTTGTTGCTCCGTTTTCCTCGGACGGCTAATTCCGGGTCTGGCTGTTTCTCATCCGGTATGGCGTTGACGAGGCCTTTCTTTTTTTCCGGTTTATTGTAAGATGTGTGCTGCCTAGGTTCGTGGTGACCTTTGGCTGCCTTCAAAGCGGCTTGCTTTAGCTTGTTTTGTTTTTTTATGAACAATCGCTTGTCCTCCTTCAGCCGGATAAAGTTTTGGGATCGATATAATGCATCTTGGAGGGAGATCATGGGATTGGAGTAGAGATCGTCTCTAAATTTGGAGTGTATCCATAACGAATTTCGTAGAGCTTCAACGGCCATTTGGTCGGGGATCTCGATCTGTGTTACAACCTTTTGAATTTTTCCATGAAATCCTTGAGGCTTTCGGAGGCCGATTGCGACATCTTCCACAAGTCTGCCGAGGTCGTTTCTTAGCAAGTGAACATAATGTTTCAAGAATTGCGCCGATAGGTCGTGGAAATTGTCGATCGATCCTTCGGTCAGTCACGAAAACCAGGTCAGTGCCGGTCCGGAGAGGCTTTCGATGAAGAGTTGCCAAAAACCTGCGTCCCTCTCCTCGTCGGAGAATTTTGTCCTCCCCATCGCTATGTTGAATGCCGTCACGTGATCGGTCGGGTCTGTCTCGCCGGTGTACGTCGGGAGGTTGAGCTTGTTGATCTTTTTATTTTGGTGTCCGTGCTCCGCTTCGTTAACGGGTTTTTAAGCGTGGTGGCGAGGACGCGCTCAATCTCTGGGGCGGAGGTCGTGACATGGTGTATCTTAGAATGGATATCCTTCATCGACATCCTTAACTCATTGATCTGGATTTTGGTGGCGGCGTCCAATCTATCGGTCGGCTGGCCGGCGGGGTTAGTGTCATGAGTTGTTGCACTGACCTGAGGACCGGCGCCGACAGGCGTCGGGTTCGTTGCGGTAAAGTGTAGCTGGCGTCTGGCCGTCTCTGTGTCTCCAGTATCACCGTCGGTTGCGGCGAGAGCAGAAGCAAGCGCGGTTAAGCGTTCGTTCATGACTCTGTTGGTTTCCTCTTGTCGTTCGAGGTGGTTCATGATGTGTTGCATCAAGTCGTCGTCGGCCGCCGGAGTCGCGGCGACCGGTCTTCGTTCTGGTGCGTCGGCGGCGGGCGAGTCGTCGGGACGCATACTGATTTCGTTAACGCTACTTCAAAGAGGCCCCACGGTGGGCGCCAAATGTTGAATCTGAGTTTGTTTGATCGATGGGAAGGGAAACAAAACTCGATTTGTGGGTCTTAAGAAGACGTTTTATTAATCAATATGCGATGACGAGCGTAATTACATGAGGACTCAAAGAAATGAAAAAGGTCGGAGCTTTATGAAAGCGCCGACGAGAATATAAGGGAGTTCGGTCGGTTGATAAACCCTAGATCTTGCCGTCAGTATTCTTGTGCTTATTTTCGGACCCCTTTCTCTTTCACCTCTGTCGTCCTTTTATACTACTAAGTTCGTTCTCGTCTTCGTTCGCCCTAAAGTTTGCTCGAAAGGCCCAATATCGGCCTCGAGCTCTATGGGCTTTTGGGCCAACGATAGTCTATAGAAGTAGGTTCGATTCGACTAGTTGGCCGGTTACTAGAATGAACCGGTGTTCGGACTTTCGGTTCAATCTCATGTTTCAATCGAGTTCCAATCGAACCGGCCACAGATGGGCTGAAGCCTGTTATTCGATGGGCCTTGTGGAAGGGTGTTCAATCCCTCTCCAACACGATTGCAAGATGACCCAAGAAATGAAATCTAACAGTGATGATATTCTTGACACTGGTCTCATTTTCTTAACCTGCCTTACACTACAAGGTAATGAAGCTTCATGTTTAATCTTGTGCTACATTCATCTCTATATGTGTCGTTCTCTCATAATGTAATCTCATGCAATAGAGAAGAAGAGCTACTAATGAAGCCTTTTAGCGATTTTGGTAAAATATCGGAGGTTCATCTTGTTCTTGACCAGGAAACAAAAAGGTCCAAAGGAATGGCCTAGATCCTTTACCAGATATCGGAATCTGCAGCAAGGTATGATTCAAACCAAAAAGTAGCCTCATGTTGATGATCTCTAGCTGTTAGTTCTGGGTTTTTAAATCGTGTTGCAGGGAAATGGAGCAATTAGATAACCAGACTTTTCAAGGGCGGGTTTTGCGTATCCAAGCACCGTGATAAACAAGTGTCAGTGGCCAGTTTTATGTTTCGGGCTTCAATCTTGAAATATAAATACTTTTTGTGGGCTAGAATTTTCATTAAGTTGTTTATATCAACAGAAATGACACTAGTGATAACCCAAAAAAATTCAAGCAAAAGAGAGAGGAACAAAGAAAGGCGTCTGAAGCCAGCGGAAATAGAAAAGCTTGGAATAGTTTATTCATGCGACCCGATACTGTACCTTTTCTTGTTTCAAGAATCCATACATTAATGTCTTTTATCTTTTGTTCTTGGCTTCATGTCTTTTCCCCTTTACCTTTTGGCGTTGTAGATCCTAGAAAACATAGCCAGGATGTATTGTGTGAATCCGAAGATCCTGCTGTACGCCTTGCTTTGGGAGAAACGAAAGTGATTGTGGAGACGAAAGAAGCATTTGCTAAAGCTGGAGTAAATGTCACCTCTTTGGAAGAATTTGCTATAGGGAAAGGCGATGGCAAGAAGAACCGAAGCAACCATATTCTCTTAGTTAAGAATTTGCCATTTGCTTCCACTGAAAAAGAACTGGCTCAAATGTTTGGAAAATTTGGAAGTCTAGACAAAATTATTCTCCCTCCCACAAAGACGATGGCCTTGGTAATAATTATTATTAATTCAATATCTTCAACTAATATATAAGTGATTGATTGTTCTCTAACCTGTCCACCGTCAGGTTGTTTTCCTTGAACCGGCTGAGGCACGTGCAGCTATGAAGAATATGGCTTATAAGTGTTTCAAGTAAGCTTTAAACATTTAACTAACATTGACAATTAGTTTGTGTCTATAATCTTTTCTTCTGTCCCTATTTATTACAGATATGTTCCCCTGTTTCTAGAGTGGGCTCCTGGAGATATTCTTGAGCCAAAAGCACTTGTAGATAACAATGAAAAGAAGATTCATGTTGTGACAAGAGCCCACTCTAGAAAAGATTATAGACACAAACTAATTGTCAATGTTAGTTAAATGTTTAAAGCTTACTTGATCAGATTGTTGGAATCGATTCAGAAATAACTGAGGTATGTCCAGTTATGATAGCTGTGGACGATTTTTAACTGAAATATAGTTGAAAAATGTACCCCCACCAACCAATATTAGCTTCTGGGCAATTGTATTTTTGGTTTCAGCGTTACCTCTCGTGCCGTGGGCTGATGTATGAGTTTAGTACTATCTTGTAAGTTTCATGTTATGTAGTGAATATCTATGTCTTCTGATGAATCTTATAATATATCAGTCAAGTGTACTTTATGTTAAGAATCTGAGCTTCAAGACAACTGAAGAGGGTTTCAAGATGCAGTTGACTGAAATGGTGAAGCATGGAAAGATTCTGCGTGTTAAGGTAAAGTTGTTGTTCAATTGCTGACAGATGATAACCATAAGTCTTATTTTTTTATTTTTATTTTTTATAAGCAGATAAGAAAACATGTAAAAAAGGGAAGTGTCTTTCAACCGGTTATGGTTTTGTCGAATTCGACTCTATGGAGACAGCAACCAGTGTCTACAGAGATCTACAGGTAATATTAACTAGTTAAGTCTCTTTGAAACTTAATTTGATTGGAGTTGATCAAGCTGAGTTACAGTGACATTTGTAAATTTTTCTTGTTTGTAGGAAACTGTTTTGGATGGGCACGCTTTGAAATTTAGATTCTCTAAAAGCAAGCAGAGTGACACGGTTGGGAACGGTTCAGAAAAGGACAAAAATTCGAAAAAGTTACATGTCAAAAACGTAGCTTTTGAAGCAACCAAGAAAGAACTAAGACAACTATTCAGTCAATTTGGTCAAGTAATCTTAACATTTTAACCCAAAAAAAAAAAAAAAAAAAAAATTTGGTCAAGTACAGTATGAAATTGTGCCGAGCGTATTAGTTGTATTTTCAAGCCATGCAGTTTACAATTTTGCCATACTCGTATAATTCTGTGAAATTTTAGTCTTAGGCTTTAAGATTTTTTTTTTTTTGAGAATAAGTAAATGTGGGTAAAACCATTAGCTCTATTGTACTGGAATGCAAACAGATGTATTTGGATAATTGGTTCAAACCACCATTTTTTCTTGTTTATGCAGATAAAATTGAGTATCCAAAGAGGAATAACAGACATGCTGGTTTTGCTTTTATTGAACTTGAAACAAAGCAAGCAGCTTTTAAACGCGAAAAAAGCATTTTCCGGCATCCATTTATATGGACGCCCTTTGGTAAGTCTCTAGTCTCTCTAAAGCCTGTTCCTTGGATGCATCCTTTGACTCTCTATGTACTATGTGCCGTCTTTGCAGTTGTTCGAGGGGGCCAAAGATGACAATAGCATGAAAGCTATCCGAGATCGTTCTGCTGCCAAGTATATGGACCAAGAATACGATAATCCCAGAAAGTTAAGGAGATGCTCGCCGGGTTGTTGCTTCAAAGAAGAATGAATTTTGAGAGAACAGCCTGAATACTCTCTTCTGTTTGTACTGAGCCTATTATTAACCATGTGGTACTTAATAAGTTTTTTTTTTGTAATTCTCCATGGTTGAAGCCTCCTCGTCTACTATGTTTTATTTCAACTGAAGAATAAAACAAAAATGTGTTATTACATTAAGTTTATAGAAACCTTTTCAATGTTTATTTACCTTTGCGATGATAATATAACTATTGGGATTTGTTGTTTTTTCAAAACTGAATTTGCTCATAACCAAAGTGATAAATCATAGCACGGGTTATAGTCCTTTCCGTGTGGTGGATGCATGGTATCATACCGCGTGGTCCAATGGACCTTTCGATATTACACCTTTTTTTTCTTGAAAATTGCTAGTGATATATGATTGAAGCCAGGGGCGGATCTAGAACAATTTTTTACCGGGGTCACGATGTCACTTATAACTAAACTCTTTTATAAATTAAAATTTTTAAAAGAAAAACAACTTACAAATTAATCCTACGTGATTCCATTTTCTGGAATCTTTTTATCACATCGTCATTTGTTACTTTCTCAAATAATTCTTTTTCAACAAAACAAACAACACAATCATTTAGAAATTGATCACTTATCCGGTTTCGCAAGCTAGTCTTCACAATCTTCATCGCAGAAAAACATCTCTCAACTGTAGCAGTAGCAACTGGTAAAGTCAAAACTAGCTTTAAAAGTCGAAAAACCTGAGGATGTGAAAGATGTTTCTTTGTCTCCACCAACATACATGCAAGATCTCCAAGATTCTTCATAGTAGAAAATCTTTCATCTTCACGGATGTTATCAATATAGAGACCAAGTTGATGTTCAAGAGTCATCCGCTCCATATGACTAAAATCCTCAGGATAAAACTCAGATAATCTCATAACTTTCAAGTGATCAAACTCACGAAATGAATCACTGGGGCTCAAAGAAGCAATGCAACCAAGTAATTCAGTGTTTACCTCATCAAAGCGGTAATTAAACTCCTGAATTTGCATATCCAATACAATGTAAAAACATTCCACCTTGTAATGAAGCAGGTTGGTTATACTGCTTCTTTTTCTTGAACTCTTCGAATTAAACTCATCATTCATGACCAATAACTCAATCTTATAATTCTCACAGAAGAAAAAAACTTTGTTGATCAGAGATTGCCATCCATTTTCCCTGAGCTTATACAATTGTTGCTTGGTGGATTTCACAAGCGACATAGCATTCGGGATATCCAAGTCTTTCCTTTGAAGAGCTTTTGATAAACTATTTGTGATCCCAAGAAGAAACAACATTAACTGTAAGTAGAACACAAATTCAAAGGTGTGGAAGTAATTGAGAAGACCATTAGCTTCTCGTCTTTTGATACCAACACTCCCATCACTTTCGACATAATCAAGTACTTTAATGATTGAAGAAAACAAATCAACCAACTGCAGCAATGTTTTGTAGTGAGAACCCCAACGAGTTTTACCGGGTCTTTGAAATGAAACCTCTTGGTTTAATCCCTTTTCTGTCTTAATTTCACCTTTCTTAGTTTTTTCCTTTATTTTTTTCCGAAAATCTTCTCGAACCATATCTTTCCTTTTACAAGAAGCTCCAACCACATTTAACAAGACATCAAGCTTATCAAAGAAATCCCCAACTCCATAATGCTTTTGAGCAACTGCCACGACGACTAACTGGAGCTGATGAGCAAAACAATGAACATAATATGCAGAACTGCATTCTCTAAGAATCAAAGATCTCAATCCGTTGAATTCACCCTTCATATTACTCGCTCCATCATAACCTTGTCCTCTTAACTTTTTCATACTCAGTCCATGTTTAGCAAACAAGGAATCAACAACACACTTTAGAGATAAAGAAGATGTCTCTTGCACATGAACCAGACCAACAAACTTTTCTTTAACTATCCCATGCTTATCAACAAAGCGAAAAACCACTGCCATTTGCTCTTTATCAGAAACATCTGCAGACTCATCCACCAACAAGCAAAATATATCATGACCAACTTCTTGGATGACAGATTCAATAACTTCTTCTGCAAAGCAATGAACTATATCTGTCTAAATTTTGTGGGATACCATCTGATTGTTTTTAGGAGCATTCTGTAAAACAACCTTACTCACAAGCTCATTTTGCTCTGCAGTATATTTCACAAGCTCCAAAAAGTTTCCCTTGTTAACTGAATCCGCTGACTCATCATGACCTCGAAATGATAGTCCTTGTCGTAACAGATACCTACAAGCATCAATTGAAGCATTCAATCTGATCATGTATTCATTTTTAACCTCGTCATCTTGCTTATAAAAAGCATGAACAATTGATTGCTCCGGTCTCATAAAATAATCAGCCCTTTTCAATGCACTATTGTGAAACTATTCACTGCTCCAACATGATCATGTAATCTCCCAGCCTTGTTCCAATCACCAAAACCAATAATCACAAATGCATCACTTCCACCCTTATTTTCAGTGTAATCTCTAAACAAGTAGTAGAACAAACAATATGCTTTGTCCTTTTTCACACTATATTCCAACCAATCACCATAGAGATCAAACCAAGATGGATTGAATCGCCTCAATTTATTTGTAAACATTCTTTTAGGAAATTCATGACCACGAGGTTGACAAGGACCTCTAAGAAGATATTTGCGTATTACCTCATCTCTTTGATTTGGAGGATATTCTGATATTCTTTTCCTTTCTCCTGGATCATAAGGTAAATTCTCCAAATCATTTTCAGTTGTAGACACAGATTCAAACTTTCTTTTGGGTTTGAAATATTTTTCCATTGAAAATTTAACTGCAAAAGAAAAAAAAACTGTTAACAAACCACAATTCTAGTTTCTAAGTTTTTATAATTTTTCTTATTAACTAAGTATTGTACTAACTTAAACTAGACAAAAAAACAACGGTACAGATTTAAAAAGCAATGATAATTTAATATAGAATTCATTACCTCTGTCTGATTTAGAATATTGTTGTGATTGGAAGCAAAAAAACTTTAATTGAAAAAAAGAAGAAGAAGACCTGCGTGAGACCTCCGTGAGACTAGGTCAAATTTTTCATAACTATTACACTTTTTTGTTATTTTTTTTTAATTCTGAATAATTTTTTTATTGGGCTTTGTATTTTAAAATTGAGTTACAATTATGTTTGTTGGGTAATGATTTGTTAACATAGAATGGGCCGATGGGAACCACCCACACGAGATTGAAAGCCACTGTCGGCTAACTCTGCCAAATGCATTACACATATATTAATTATATACAACTTTTTTTTTTTGAAAAAGTTGATGGTGTCATGTGACACCGTAGCCCACCGCATACATCCGCCCCTGTTTGAAGCTCATGTTGGTATTCGATGTACGTGTAGGTGATAAAGTGTGGGCAGTTCTAACTAAATGCCTTATTCATATTATAAGCTTAAACCGCACAAGGTTGGTTCTTTAGAATTATTTGAAAAGATTAACAACAATGCATATTGTATCCGCTTGGTACTTAGCGATATAGTTGCTTACATCAAAGCATTTAGGAGCTTTCGTTTTAAGTAGATCTCAGAAGAAAGTTAATGTAAGCAAATACACTTGTAAAATGTTTCTAGGCTTATACAAGCTATACTTATATTTGAATGAAGTTTCAGAAAAGGTCTAAAAAAGAAAAAGAAAGATATCAATGAAATACCTAACAGAAAAAAAGATATCACAACCATATGGTGGTTGTGTAGTGGTAGGCAAGCTTCGGAACAACCCTGGTTCGAAGGCATCCCATTACATTTCATTTTGTGGTTACATAGATATGGGTTATTGCTTTCGACCCATTTGAATGCCCAGTAAATAGTCTATCTATGGACTGTATCTCCACCTGGGAATTAGGTCTATATCTTTAATAGACCTAGATTTAACATTTTTGAGTTACAAAAAGAAAAAAAGATATCACTGAAAAAACGAATGATTTTCACGTCATTTAAACTGAGCACTTGCGTCTTGTTATACGGTGACGTGAGAATACCGAAGTTGGTTTCAAAATGACGCTGTTACGGTTCGATCTAAAATAATATCGTCTATATATTAAAAGAAAAACTTGTTTTATTAATATGTTCACACTATACTTGCTACATACCTTCTCATAATGATTTGAGAATGAAACGTATAAAAAAATTCTCAACCAAATTTTATATAAATATGTTTACATTATATATTATTTTATATTTTTAATATAAAATTCAGATGCATAATTTCGTGGATTATGTAAAGATTCCACACAATAAGATAATTTGCATAAATTTTACTAATGTTTAGACCTTAATTTTTACTTAATTTATTATAAAATATTTATAGTTAATGTGTTTTTTTGAACAAAATATATTTTAAAGTTAATTAACAGTATTTTTTATATTTTATATATTTATCAACCATCTTTATATACTTTTATATGCACATATATGTGCACATTGACATAATGACCTATATAACTAAATATTCACCATAAATAAAAAATTGTAATTCTCTTGAAAATTGAACTATTCTTTTTAATGTTTCATTTCATCGACCAAATTGTAATGAAATAATTTATCTTAATATTATTATTTTATTTTTCTTCAACTATTATCTAGGTTTAGTTTAATTTTTCATACATTTCAAAATTATAATACGCAACGATTGCTTTGACATCAAAATTATATAAAATTCATATAATATAAAAATAAACAAATAATAATAGTTTTTTATTATCACCAGAAAAACCAAAAATCTTAAGCATTTTAATCAAGTAAACCAACAATAAATATTTTGAATGATAATTATATTTTAGTAGTTTAAAAATAAAAATAACCAACCTAAAACCAAATCGTTAGCCAGATTAAACATACCTAATATATTCTTATCTTAAAAATAATGAAATTAATAATCTCTTTTTTTGGTCAAATGAAATTAATAATCTCATTTTGCACAAGAATTATTACCTAATAGCATAATATATTAATAAAGTTACATGTTTTGTAATACTTCGATTAAAGTATGTGAATCAATATTTGTAACATTTTTAAGGGAAATTATTAAATCATATCAATATTTAATACTTGGGGTAGTATGCCACCAAATTGCTTTCCAACTCTTATCTATTCATCCAATTGCAAGTCAATGGCAACGTTTTCTTCCACAATCAAATCTTCTAAGCACTATAAAATACGAACCCTCACCTCCACATACAAATAAATAACCATCTTCTATCTCTCCAACTACAATCATCAAGATCTTAATTACCATTTTGACTATATATATGGCTTCAAAGAACATGACAACAATCATGGCTCTCTACCTTACCTTCAACCTCGTTTTCTTGGGATTTATCACAGCCCAAACTCCGCCTCCTCCCGCAAACCAACCTCAGTGTCCTGTTGACTTGGTCGATCTCAAGGTTTGCCTCAACGTATTTACCAATATCGTCAACCCACAAGATCCGGCTAATATCCTCAACCCACAAGATAAGGCTCAATGTTGCACTCTCTTAACTAAGCTTGGTGGTCCTATTGCGGCTTTATGTTCCTGCGAACTCGCTAGAACCAGAGTTCCCGGCGTAGCAAATGCAAGCATCACCACTGCGCAAGCCTTTCAGTTCCTCAAGGTCTGCCCAGGTGTGACGGCACCACCCAATTTCAGATGCAACTAATAACTTATTAGTAATAAGCTTACAACATGCAAAATTATTATATATTAAAATCACTATAAATAAGCAGACACGTTATACAATATCAGTTCATGGCGCAACTATGTGTATTTCTTTTCCAAGGAATTATGTATTTATCTTATGTTTGAAATAAAATGAAACGTCTTGGATGGTGTTTCACTTGTTCGGCTGTTGCACACTCTTCATGTCAGTTTCACGTAAATGCATCTTAAAAGTTTTTGCAACAAATTTTTGTTTGAGTTTTTGGGCTAGAACATCTCTAAAGGAAACTCTATAATTTCAAGGGAAGATTACCCAAATAACACTAATCTTTATTTTTATTACTAGATTAAAACTAATTTCTTTTTATTTACAAAACTGTTTTTTGTACCCAAATTGTTCTCATGTCCTTTGTTAACAAAAATATATATTTACCAAAATACCATTATTATTTTATCCAAAATAAGCAATTATTTTCGAAATTGATAGAAAGTATGCCATTGAAAATCTGTGATACATGATAACAGATTTATTAATTTCTGGGAAATTTATTTCTTCCAGCAGATTTACTACGGTAGACTTAATATCGTTATAGACTTTTATTAAAAATCTGTCATACATTACAATAGACATATTTAAGTTAACAGATTTGTTTAAGCTGGCAAACTTTTATAGCAGACTTTTGGTTCTATGATAGCAGGTTCTTACTATGTGGGTGACTTTTTTTCGGATTGATGATTTTTTTTTTTGCAGACTTTTTATATTTTGACAGAATTTTTTATATTCGTGATGGCAAACTTATATTATCTTATTTTGTCTATGACAAAGTTTTTGAATGCAAAGTTTTTAAATAGTATTCTTCATAACAGATTTAAAACTAACTTTTAATTGATAGCATACTTTTATTTACAGCAGACCTTTAGGAGTGTTATGTAATGACAGACTTTTTAAAAATAAACCAGATTCTGGTTTGCTAATTGAACTATTAAGATAAAAAATTTAAGTAATGACGAAATTGAGCCCAAAAAATCGATCACTAACTTCTACGTTTAGCCGTAAAACATGTCTTTGTTTCTCATTTCAATTTGGACTTGTTTCTTGTTTCTGTTCAGAAAGTTTGACTCGCTTGTTTCTTGTTAGACAATTTATTGACTGGTTATACTATGTGTCCTCTGTCCTGTTGTACTTGGTAACCACAAAGACAAGATGGGCAAAAAGATAACATGAGTCGGCTTGATTCCAACTATTTAAACTTAGATTCATAATCAAATTACACAACTTCTAGTCATCAAGTAGATAATGATTCTGAAACATGAAATACTACATAACAGTCGATAAGTTTGTTTTTAAAACATGAAATACTAGCTGGATTGTAAATAAATGGTGAACAGTTAATTGGCTTCACCAAGTATAATCCATCTCTTTCAACCTCAGAATAACTCCAACAGCTGCTTCTTTATTGGATTCCCATGCATTCACGCCAACTGATTCCTCGACCATATGCAAACTTGCCAAGTGACAATTATGATTCCACAACTCAAAAGCACCCTGTAATCAACTATCAACCGTAATCAATCAATTCTCTACTACCTCATAATCAACTACTAATTCCACAACTCAGAAGCGCAAACACATAACTATCAAAATGAGAAACCCAAAATCAAATAACATGCATGGAATGGCGCAAGGAACATCCATGTTTTCGCAGTACCCAAAAAAAATAAGGAAAAGAATAACCTTGATGCCACAATTTGTAGGTCAATTGAATAGCTTCAAAAGGAGATGAGGTTGTGCTTTTGAAGAAAAAACTGAGAGAAAATTGAATAAGCCACGACCTTTCACGGAATTGAGAATTTCAAAAGGGATTTAGGGTTCGTCAAGTGGATTTCGGATTTACTTCCCCTATGTGAACCGAAGGCTTTAGTGGTAGATTAGAGTTCGTACATGAACGAATCGATGATGAGCTATTTTACTAAGACAGAGAATTGAGAGTTTGAGGATTTCACAGTTTGGAGATTTAGGGTTCTTGGGGATGGGTCACGAGAGAAATGTCGTGGGGGGGGGGGAGAAAGTGTTTTTTTTTTTTTTTCATATTTGTCTTTCCGCAACAAACCTTCTAGTTTAGGTAGAGTCTTTTATTTTCTGTTTTAAGAAATTATATTTTGTTTAATCCTATTTATTGAATGGGTATTTTGGAATTATACTCGATTTTTCCTTTTTTTTTGTATGTTATTCTAGTCATTCCACATAAAATATGTGTTATTGTAAGTAATTTCCCTAATTTCAAATATATAATTTTTTTGCTCTCTAAGAACATTTCCAAAAGAAACTCTATAACTTCAAATATGAAGTTTTTGACTCTCTAAGAGCATCTCCAAAAATACTCTCTATTATAGAGTTTGCAAAACTCTATATTTGAAGTTTGAAGGTGTTATACTCCAAAAGCAAAACATCAAACCTAACTTCAAAACTATTTGTATTTTATAATAATCCTTATATTTGTCATAACTAATTCAAATTTATAGAACTTTTATAAATAACTATCACATGTATAAAAATATTATAGAAATATTATTTGATAAAAATGTTACACTAAAATATAAAACTATAAATATAAATATATAATTAAGTATTAAAGTACAAAAAATACCACATTATATCATGTAATATTGTTGTTTTCTAGTTCTAGTTTAAAAATATTTTAAAGCTTATCTTGATGTTTTTTAAAACATATATAAAATTTAAATTTATAAAAATAATTTTGAATTAATTATGGAATAAGAATTTTAAGGAGTAAAATGATAAATAATAAAATATTTAAGATTATTATAAATATGATGTGTAACTGTAAGGACCAAAATGCAAATAAAATATGAAACTTCAAATTTGAAATTTTGAATAGTGACACTCCATATTTGAAGTTTTACTACTCAAAACTTCAAATTTGAAGTTTTAGAGATCCTTTTTGAAGAAACAAAAACTTCATATTTGAAGTTATAGAGTCTCTTTTGGAGACACTCTAAAAAAGAATTCTAAAACTTCAAATGTGAAGTTTGAGTAGTGAAACTTAAAATATGGAGTGTCAATACTCAAAACTTCAAATTTGAAGTATCATATTTTATTTGAATTTTAGTCATTACAATTACACATCATATTTATAATTATTAAGTATTTTATTCTTTATCGTTTTAATCCTCAAAAAAAATTTCTCATAAACCTTTCAAAATTATTTTATAAATTTAACTTTTACATAATTTTTTTAAAAAAACATCAAGATAGGATTTAAAATATATTAAAACTAGAACTATACAATATTAGAAGACTTAATGTGGTATTTTGTTTGTAGTTTAATATTTAATTATATGTTTCTACTTATAATTTTATATTTTAGTGTAACAATTTATCAATTAATATTGTTGTAGTATTTTTATATATGTGATAGCTTTTTGTAAAAAAAACAAATATGAATTTGAATTAATTATGTTAAATATAAGGACTATCATATAAAATATAAATAGTTTTGAAGTTAAATTTGAAGTTTTGCTTTTGGAGCATAAGACCTTTAAACTTCAAGCATAGAGTTTTGTAAACTCTAAAATATAGAGTATTTTTGGAGATGCTCTAAAAGGGAACTTCCAAACTTTAAATTTGAAGCTTTAAGAAGTGAAACTTCATATTTGAAGTTTCACTATTCAAAACTTCAAATTTGAAAGTTTCATCTTTTTATTTGTATTTTGGTCCTTATAATTACAAATAAAATTTATAATGCATAGATATTTTTTCGTTTATCATTTTAATACTACAAATTTTTATATCTCATAAATATTTCAAATTAGTTTTTATTTTTTTTTACAAATTTAAATTTTACAGATAAATTAAATAGTTTTAAAATAAATTTATAATATTTTAAAATTAAAATTAGACAACAAGAATATTACAAAAGAAACTTAATATTTGCTTGTAGTTAGATATTTTAATAATAGAATGAGACAACAAAATATGGTATTTTTCTTAATATTTAATTATCTATTTGTATTTATAATTTTATATTTTAGTGTAAGCTTCTATTAATTAATATTGATGTTTAATTTATATATATGTGTGTTATTTATGAAAGCCTTATGAATTTACATTAACTATGACAAATATAAGGACTATAGTGTAAAATATATACAATTTTGAAGTTGAGTTCGAAGTTTTGATTTTAGAGAAGAACACATTGAAACATTTTTTTGACAACAAAGGTAACTCTAACTAACTACACTTTCCGGATTGGACATCCAAGCCGGAGGTGTTGAATCAACATAAAACATAGCTGAAGGAGAACTTATCGCACCACGTGCAAGCTTATCCGCCATAGTTTTTTGTGCCTTTGGAATATATCTGATTCAGAAGTTGGGGAAGAACATCTTACTGCGTCTGAATTCTTCCAAGTGTGTAGAAAATGCTGGCCATTCTTCGGGTGTCGACACCATCATCACCAACTGAGAACAATCCGTCGCAAAAACTAAATCAGAGAACGGTAGGGTCTTCATAAATTCCATTGCCCAAATCAGAGCTTCACACTCAGCATGTAAAGGTGATAGACTTCATCTGAGATTCATAGCCCCCATCATAACTCCTGCCGAGTCTTCATTTCGGTAAAACCATCCATGGCCAATAAATTTATCATTCTCTCTCCAAGCACCATCAATATGACACACTTTTGCGTGTATTATGGATAACCCATCTGTTTCCGAGATCTGTTGTTGTGCCTCCCTTTGATATCCATTGACCGATAATAGCGCGTCTGCCCAGATCTCGCTTTCCACTTCTGCCATACAAAGAATTTCCTCTGGATTCCCATTTTTATTTTTATAAACCTTATCATTTCGGTTTTTCAAAATATACCATAACATCTACGTGAAGTAGTTAAAATCTCCGTCCTTCCGAAGTCTCCAAAATAAATAAACCATACACGTGAAAATCGAAGAGGAGGGAAAAATTCCAGGAGGAGAAGGGGT